GTCCTGGGGCCCAGATCCAGCTCCTGCTTGGGTGTAACATGCTGGGCAGCTGATGGACAAACAGGTGAGGTGAGAAGGAGCTAGGCTGCCTGGCTGGGGCTCCATGTACGCTGAAGGAGGTGAGGTGGGCAGGAGGTGTTGAGCTGGCTGTAGATTAGGCTTCAAACGAACAGATGAAACTTTCATTCTTCTAACCAAGTACTGCGGTGTGGTGAGTGTCGCCAGGTGGGTGGCACTGGGGAAGCCAGGGCCCTTTCTGACTACTGGCACCACAGGGGAGTCAGAACCTGGGCCTAGGGAGCAAAACCTCTCTGGGTCAGCTGCTGGTCTCGAGCCCCTTTCCAGACAGGACAAGAAGCCGAGGCCAGGAGTGGTTCCCCACTTTCCTAGACTATGTGACGAGGGGGATGTGGAATTCGTTTGAGTCGAAGATCAGGGGCCTCTTGGGAGGACTTGGATCCCTGTTGGCCTTGTGGAGCAGCTTGAAGAGCCCAGTCCCAATGTTCATGGGGATTCCCATGATGATGCATTCAGACACCCCTGAAATCAACAGAAAGGAGATTAGAGAGCTTCTCAGCACACAGGTGGGTTTTCAAAAGATTATTGACTTAGGAGTCAGAAAACTGGGATTTGAGCCCCAGATCCACTACACACCAGCTGGCTGAACTTGGCAAGGTACTTCCTGGACCTCTACATGGAGAGGGCTGTGAAGCACAGACTGTGAAGCACAGGCTGGGCCCTGTTCTCCTGGATGAGTAGGGGGAATTTCTGCAGCTGGGGGAAAGGGCATTGCCTGCTCACAGTCCCACTGCTGGCTGGAGACAGGCCAAACCCTACCTTTCATACAGCAAGGATAAGTGTCCAAACTTAGACAGCAAAGATACTGATGTATAGGAAACTCCGAGTTTGCCACCCGGGCCTTTCCTTAACTTAGGGCCTAAAAGCAAAGCAAACAACAGGATAGTGGGCAGATGTCAATCCCCCCGAGAAAGTTGTGGAAAGTTGTTTGCTATGTTCAGGGGCTGGGCCTGGGCCAGGCTTCATGGCATTTGAGCCTTTGGCAGCCACAGCCCGACTGGAAACACTCAGAAGGCAGGTCTCCCTGTGAAGTGACAGCAGATGGTGTGCAGATGCTTTCTTCACGTTCCCTTTCAGTTTCCCAGCAGGCTAATGTGAGCTTTACATCAGGCTTTTGGTTTTACAAGTGAATGCATTCCTGCTACGTTCTGGGCTTTGTGCTAAAGGGGAACCAGAGAGGCAAAAAAAACAAACTACCAATGCACAGCGAGGACTGACACTGACTTATGATATGTCAAGGATTAGCAGAGGGTGGAGTAGCTATGCCAGGCCCCCAAAGGGATCAGGCAGCAATGGAGGCAGCTGCTTGAGGTCCAGGGCCTAGCATGCAGGGTTGGGGCACTGGGTCTTTGTGCCATCATCAAGATTCGCTCTCATTCCTGCCCTGGCCTTCTCCTGCCCCAATCATTGCTCCTGTTTCTTTTCCATCTTCATTATCTTAAAGAATTATCTAATTTCTCTTTCCATCCACCTGCAACCTACCCCCCTTCTGAAAGGATGAAGAATTCATCAGAGGAGCAAAAACTAGGTGTGCACTCTCTCTAGGGCCCCATCTATTTGGCAAATTCAGGAAGGAGATGGGGGTAAGGTGGGCTGTGACCACGGGAAGCAGAACTTTGGTGCTGGATCAATGACCAGGTTTGGAATCCCTGCTTGGCCTGACAAGGGTGCCTTGGGCAGGCCACTGTGCTTCCAAGGCCCCGTCTCTTGTGAACTCCCACCTCAGGTCACAGGGGCTTGCTTGGCATGAGAAAGGTGACAGTAAAGCTGGCACTGGCATAGGGCTCAGGGAAGGGCCAGGGGGGCGCAGGCACAGCTGTGGTGACAGGCCCCCTCCTCTCGATCTTGGTAGGACCTGTCAGAGATGTGCTGTGTGGTGGTGGGATAAGGCCAGCACAGGGCAAGACCCTGCAACCAGAATCCCAGGGAGTTAGTTCCCTTGGCCTTCTTACTGGCTAGAGGGTTTAATACTCTCGCCTCACAGATATTCTGATGTCTCAGAATACCACACCTAAGGTGCCAGGACGGGATGAGGGGGCGCTATGCAGATGCAAAGGCTGACTTTTCCAGGGAGTCAGGACAGCAGGACCCTTCGGGGTTGCCACCTCCTGTCAGCCTGACCCCACACGCAGGGGATGGAGGATCAATGCAGCTGGCTACAACCCCGAGGGCTAGGAAAATGTCTATACCTCAGGGCTGATCTTTTCTTCTTGGGGAAAAACTGTACTGACAAGAGTCTTTTAACAGATATCGGGCAATACAGGATGCCCAAGTCAAGCTTTGAGGTAAAAGATCAATTCTAGATCCATCATCTGTGACTTAATCCTAAAAAATAAAAGCTCCGCTTATGCTGTCTGTTTGCCTCCCAAGGTCTAGTCACTGTACAAGCTGTGATGCTCCTGGAAACGTAAGACCTACCACACACAGAGTCCTTCTGCCCAAAGTAGGCAGCGTCAAAGAGGTGGTCGGCTGTCTTCTCAAAGGACGCCAGCATCAGCACACTCTCCTTCATCTTGGCCAGGCCAAACCTAGTAATGCCCAGGACTTCGCCCTGCATCAGGGTAGAGCATCAGATTGTTACTCGTGACATTAAGGAGTATTCAAAGACCACACCCACCATCTCCCCACCACAGAATAAGAAAACCCAGCCAGTAGTTGTGCAAGTCACACCCTCTGCTTCACGCAGGCTTCTGACAGCCTCCTGTCCCTTCTGTGTCCCACTGAGGCCACTGACAACTGGAGGAGTGCACTGGCTAGCAGGTGCCCTTGAACAGAGGAGGGGGACTGGAGATCTAGGCTTGAGACCCTGACTTTAAAAAAAGAGAGGACTTCTATAGCTGTTTATCATGGCTCAAAATCTCAAATGAGTCTAAGGAGGGCAAGAGCTAAGTAAATTTAGGTGCTGTCATTCAAAGGATCATTGTGTCATCTTCAAAAAAGTATACTTCTAAAAATAACTGTGGCACAACATGGAAGATACTTGTAAGGCTAAATAAAAAGGATAAAAATGGCACAGATGCTATTTATTACAAACACATCAATATATGCATATAGAGAAAGAGCGGAAGGAAAAGCTTCAAAATGACAACTTTTACTACAGGGTGGCAGGAAGCGGGTCTTTTCTCCCATCTAGTTTCTGAACCTTCCATACAGCAGTACAGTCTTGTACAGACTTGTGTGAAGCAGTACAGACTTGTGTGAAGAGACTTCATGAAAATCAGCTTCCCTATTGAAACTGCTTGAGGAATACATTTTTGGGGAAAAGAACAACAAAACAAAGATCCACCAAAACCAGCCAATGAACCTCAGTCTGCCTGCCTCCATAAGCTCCTGCTTCATATCTTATTAATTTAACCTTTACCTAGGAGTAGCTACAGAAGTGTGATGAATAGGTTTAACAGGAAATAAACAAACACCTCAGTTTGCCATGGAAATTTTGGCTTTGGTTTTGCTTTAGGATCCAATTTGTAAGAAGAACAAAACTATTCTCTACCTTGCCCCACAGGTTGTAATTTTCCTGCTGGAGTTTTACGAGAATACCCAGTCTGACCACCATGCTTTGGTTTTTGGGAGATGGTGATAAATTCTTTTCTCACTGTGGTCACCAGTTATGTGTTTGTTCAACATGTCTTAGAAGTTTGACAGCTTTATCTCAGGAAATTTGGGATGCTCAGCAGAACAGGACCCTCTCACGAACCTTGTAAGTCATCAGGTCCGAAAGCAGCATCACATGCCTCCTGTCAATACTCATGCCGTGGTTGACCATCGTGTACTGGATTTCGTTGATGATAGTTGTACGGGCAGCTTCGATGCCCAGCGTTTTCTCCACCTACAGAGAGCCAGAATGAGAGGACGCAGCCACCTCCAGGATGCTTTTGCAACTCCTCTATGGATCCTCCTTTGCCCTACAGGTTCGTAGCAAGTCCCATGCCCTTTTCCAGAAATGGACTACTGAACAGTATTTAGTGTGATGCCCAGAGCAAACAGCAGGATCCCAGGAGTGAGCCGGGAACCAGGAGTGGCTTATAAGCAGCACCGAGGGGGATGGGGCCCCTGGAAGGAGACTGTGGGTATGAGCCGTACCTCATAGGTGTTATTAGAGGTGGTTCGGGTCCCCTTCACACCGTGGGTGGCCATGACAGCCCGCAGGTTATCACCTTCCACCAGAAGCTTGTACTTCTCCTTCCCACTTTGCTCATCGATGTGGATGACAGCTCTGGACACCTCTGGGATGCCTTGCACCACCACCTGGACTCAAGAGACAAAGAAGACTCGAGACCCTACAGAGCCCGCAGCCCCTGGACAACCCAATAGCCGCAGAAACCACTGTGAGAACTTGGAACACTCGGGTTTGTTACCTTGATCATCCCCATTTCTTTCTTTCTTTTTTGAAGATTTATTTATTTATGCATACAAGAGCTGGGGTATAGACCAGAGATGCGGGGGAGAGGGGGGTGAGAGGATTCACCAAAGACATAGTGGGGAGCAGAACAGGCAGACTGACTGAAATACATTGCTGAGGGGAGCAGCGGGAGAGGCAGGAGAGGTCCGCCCCACCATGTGGGTTGCTCCCTGGCTGGCAGGGGATTGAACTCATCCTGCAGGGGCTGTGGATTGCTTTGTAGCATGGTGCTTAACCTCTTGCACCACCAGAGAGACCCGATCATCCCCATTTCTTAGCGTTGATTACCAGTAACATACCAAACCTGAAAGTGGCTGTGTGGTATTTGTGGATTAGGGAGAAAGGCAGAAGTTCAGGGGATTGTGCCCCATTCTCTCTTTCTTTTTTCTCTTCAGGGAGCAGAAAGGGCAGGGTTAGTGTGTAGTCAGGGTCTGGGCATTCCCTCAATCTCCCATCAAGTGCCTGTTGCAGAGGGGCCCATCTTTGGGATAAGTGGCTAGTTTCTGGCAGCGATCCCCAGGGGTGTAGAATCTCCAAATTCACTTTCAGGGGCACGGCCATAGCTCCTCAAAGGCGACGGTATCCAATTGCTGTCCGCACCTCTGTTTAAATCACTGCTACGAGAAACAGTGGTTCTTGGGTTGAGGTGCTTCTGTGCCCCATTCTATCACAGGTTTTACGAGAGGACAGAGAAGAATCTCACAGGCAGAACTGGCATGGCTGTGTTAAAAAGGAAAAATTTGGACTGACTCGTTACAGATGTGGTGAAGAAGAAATAAAGAAATTGGGCGTCCCTTTCAGCCTCAGCGGTGATGAAGACCTTCGAACTCCCCAAGGACTGAACGGCTACCTTCTTAAGTCTCTTGGCTCTGGGCTGGGCAGGGCCCCGAAGCAACTTGGGTCTTACCTTGGGGAGGTCCTCCTTCAGGAACTGCAGCACATAGTACATGGAGCTCTTGCTGTTCTCTCTGGGAGTGACACACACCACAGCTTCGCCGTGAACAGCCACGTCACCAGGCTTTACTCGGAGCTTGGACATGCAGATGGAGTACCGCACTGTTTCAGCATTCACCTGCAAGGGGCCGTGCTCCAGGACATTACTCACAGGCGTGGAGGCTTTGCTTCTAGTGTCTCTTGACCTTTTTTTCCAATCGGTGCTCCTCTAAGAAGCCTGCTTAGTCTTTATTTCCCTAATCTCTCTGCCCACCATGAATTTTTTTTTTAGATTTATTTTATTTATTTATTAAAGATTTATTTATTTTACACAAGAACCGGGATACAGGCCAGATATGTGGGAGGGTGAGAGGATTCACCACAGACAGAGCGGGGAACAGAACAGGCAGACTGAGGAAATACACTGCTGAGGGGAGCAGCGGGTGTGACAGGAGAGGTCTGCTGTGCCATGTGGGACCCTCGTTGGCTGGCCGGGATAGAACTGGCGCTGCAGAGGCTGCGGACAGCTTCACAGCACTACGCTCAACCTGCTGAGCCACCGGGGAGGCCCAGAATCTTTTTTTTTTTAATGTAGAAGAACTGGGGTGTAGGCCAGAGGTGTGAGGTGTGGGGGGGTAAGAAGATTCACCAGAGGGCCTCCCCAGTGGCGCAGTGGTTGAGCACTGGGTTGTGAAGCTGCCCACAGCCTCTGCAGCGCCGGTTCGATCCCTGGCCGCTGGCGAGGGTCCCACACTGCGCGCAGACCTCCCCTGCCTCCCGCTGCTCCCCTTAGCAGTGTATTTCGTCAGTGTGCCTGCTCTGCTCTCCCCTCTGGCTCTGGTGAATTCTCTCACCCTCCCGCGCTTCTGACTGTACCCCAGTGCTTGCATAAATAAATTAAATAAATAAATAAATAAAAATAAAAATAATAAATTTTTTTTAAAGATTTATTTATTTATTTATATAAGCACTGGGTATAGTCAGAAGCACGGGAAGGGGAGAGAATTCACCAGAGCCAGAGCAGGGAGCAGAATAGGCAGAAGGACCAAAGTACACTGCTGAGGGGAGCAGCGGGCGGCAGGAGAATTCTGCGCGCCATGTGGGACCCTCCTCCGGTGGCCGGGGAGCAGCCGGGATCGAACCGGCACCGCAGAGGCTACAGGCAGCTTTGCAACCCAGCACTCAACCGCTGCGCCACCGGAGAGGCCCTAAATAAATAAATCTTTAAAATAAATAAATAAATAAATAAAAGCCTACCTGGTGAATCTTAGGTGGAAATGAGGAATAAGTTTTTTTTTTTTTTTTTAAAAAAAAAAGAAGATTCACCAGAGACAGAGTAGGGAGCAGAACAAGCAGATTTACTGAAAAACACTGCTGAGGGGAGCAGCAGAAAAGACAGGAGAGGTCTGCTGCACCATATGCAGGATAGCTCCTGGCTGGGGATTGAACTCAGGCCATAGCGGTGATACATGATAGTGCTGAGACTTAACCCCCCACCATGAAATTTTAATGCCAAAGATATACTGTCTATTTGTTTATGTATTGTACGTGTATCTGTGCTTTATTAATAAAGAGTAGATTTTATTCCTAGGCTGCCCCCTCCCTAGAACTGGTTTGTGTCCCCACTGAACATGCAGGCTGAGTTCGTGGCAAAATGCACAGGTTGTGAGGTAGTTTGGGGTGGGTGTGAGGTTGGAGATTAGAATAACTGACAAGTGTCAGTGAAACCTCCCTCCACCAAACTGCTGGCACCGCTGTCTTCCCCACTGCAGCTCAGCCCTAGTGAAAGAGCTGCAGGGCAAGGTAGAGAAATTCCCAACCGAGAGAACTGGTTGCTCAATTTTGAAATCAACCGTCATATGGACAACATGTGAGCCTGGCACTTGAGAGAATGAACTGACAGAATGCTCTGGGGCTAGAATAGATTTTTAACTACCTGAGAGCAAGAAGAAGGTGCCAGAAAATGCACCCCCCTGCCTCAGGCTGTCCATGAAAAAAAAAAACAACCCGACAATCTTTCAATTGTTACCTAGAGATAAATACTAATTTAAGAAGCCATATTACCCACCCATCTAAAAACATTTACTGAGTCAATTAGGCCCTGTGCTGGAGCCCAGACAAGTAAGATACAGGGCCCTGTGGTCTTTTCAGATACTGGGAAGATGGAGAGAGAAACCATTATTGCAATATGATTTCACAGGAACAGTTCTGTGGTCTGCAAAAATTTCAGTTGTCAGGTCTGAGAGAAAGAATGTGAAGGGACAACAGGCTGACATTGAACAGAAACCAAGCAAAGCCTCTCCAGTGCTTCTTGTGTTTTGCTTAGCTCTTGCCCTAGTTTATCAGCGCCTATCTTGGGACTAACAGGGGATGACTTCCTCTACACATTTAATTACGTGACTCACTTCCAGTCTCAGAAGTCTAATCCGTTCCAGGGAGAGCTTGACGAGAATAAAGCAATCATCAGGAAGAAACACTTCTTCAATGTACTCTGAAATCTGGGGTGTCAAAAGATCAGAATGTTAATCACTTTCCCCTTTCCTAAGAGCATGCACTGCTTATTTATTTTTTTTGAAGGCCATATAGTGTGAACACACAGACTGGAAAATCCACTGCAGTGGGTTTTGACACTTGCTTGCAATTGCAACACTTCTGATCTGGTTTTCTTGTTATCAAGGGGCATTTTTTTCTTACCTCTCCCAAGAGGGTTTTCTCGATCCTCCCCTTCACAAGGCGAGCATAATCTGCATCGTCATCCTTGTCTAGCTGTGCAGTGATGATTGGAGTACTACGAGAAGCCAATGCGAAACAGTCACAACACAATGAACAAGCCAGTTTGAAGACCACTGCTTTGTTAAATTTGGTTATCAAATTGTAATGCGGAAAGCAACTGCAATTTAATCAGCATTTACTGTCAGACACACCCTGGAGGGTTTCATAGACATTCTCATTAAAATTTAATATATTTGAAGCTCACGGGGCAATCCACTCATCTGTGAATGAGTGACTCACATAATTCTTACGAGGTGAACCTACATCTCTCTTTTTCTCTGGTCCCAACCAGCAGTTACTTGAGTTCTGTTCTTTGAGTAAATCGATGCCTTGTGAGTTATTTTCGTTTCCTTTATCCCCTTCCCCCTGTCCCTGTCACCTCTTCTCCAGAACACCTCTGGCTTCGCCAACCACTATCAGCTTTGCCCTCGCTGTCACAGATGACACCCTGTAAAGACATTCCTGGGAAAGACCTGACCGGGCAGAGCTCCTGCTGTCCTGAAAGTCTGCAGAGTGCTGCTCTTAAACCAAGTGCAGCTTATGCTAATTACTATCTTTTGTCATTCCGTTAGCTTCAGATCCTAGGAGAAACATTTTGTCATCAGATGTACTGTAATATATTTCTAGCTTTTCGAGTCTCAGATCACCTAAAAATTCTATCATGAAAATACCTGGGATGGTCACAGAAAATGGCCACAGCCCAAGAGTGAGACACATCACTTAGGCTGAGAATAATGACATCCAAAAGGAAAAATCTATGCTGACATGTGGCTCCACTTTTTCCAGTCATTTTTGATTTCTCTCTTTCACGTGACTGGCCACAAAGAACCACTGCCTCACTTTGTATCCAGTTCCAAGTTATTTTTTTCTCAAATGGGTCATTCCTAAACCCAAATATGATCAGCACAGGCATGCCACCCAGACTGTGACACACTGCCTATTAGAGGATCATACACACGTGCCAAGGAGAATCGCTGCTTCTCAAGAAGTATAACAGCCAGTGGGGTGGGGACCAGTGGGGAAGGGAGGTGGAGCACCTGATGGCCTTGGAGGCATTGATGATCTCCTTGATGCGGGGCACACCCAGGGTGATGTTCATGGAGGCCACTCCCGCAAAGTGGAAAGTTTTCAGGGTCATCTGGGTGCCTGGCTCCCCAATGCTCTGGGCACAGAGTGCACCCACCGCAGAACCTGGCTCCATCTGTGCCCTGGAAAGAAGAGCTAGGAATGAAACAACTAGCAAGATTGCTGAGGAAAGGTTTCTGATTATTTCCTTTTAATGAAAAACATACAGCTGCTATTGGGACAGAGTTGGCCACAAGCCAGGCTGTGTCAGTGGTGGAGTAAAAAACCTGGCACAGATCAGTGAGAGGCACAGACTAGGGCACGCGATGCTCATGGGTCCAATAATGTCACGGTGCCTTGTGGACAGGGTGTAATGACCTAAACCTCACCTAATAAGTTCTAAGTGTTCTGCTAACAAACTGTCCTGGTGGTGGCAGAGCAGCTGGTATTTGTCGAATATACTGGTTAGTTTCTCCGTGGGGAGAGGCCATTGAGACATTTCTTTGAAATTATTTCCACATCTGAGAGCATCCAGCCTACCTAGCCACTGGCGTGCCTAGATAAGCGGTGACAGAACCCACTCAAACCCTGGCAATCTCAAGAGATGCTGGTGCAGGATTCTGTGCCTGAGCAAACTGGAAGGATGTGAAAGACCCACGTGACAGCCTGGCAGCTGAGCCGATTAGCGTCCCTACCTCATGTACTTGTCCCTACAGGTCTCCAGAAACTTTTCTATTTGGGTGGGTGTGATCCGGTCCAACTGGTACAGCACACGGGGCTGGAAGAACAAAAGCCAAGAACAGAGTTGGAGCAGGCAGCTACTAAAAACACCTGGCTGTTGGGTCACGTTTGGGAAGGCCGTTACCTCTGTTGTGCCGTTATC